TATCTACTTTATATTTCATTTGTATTTTGTGGCATTCATGTGGACGGCAAAGTAAGAATTTCATTGTACAGGGAAACACGTTTCCTAACTGTGCATATGACAAACACTTTGACCTTGTAAATGGCTAAACATTTTTCCCCCTTGTATTTACCGTCTACACGATGTGTCATGAATCTATCATTTAACGCAAATGGGACAAAAGACTTTACTGAAAAGGACAAAGGCAGGACCAGGCAGTGTCAGCTAAATTTATGAGATATGGTGCAAGCAAACTAAACCTGTACTATGCACTAATCTCACCGATTTGCAGTTCAACAGTACTTTAAATTATTTTAGACACTGTTTAGCCCATTGCTGGTCTGTGTACACATACCTGTATCCCCTGTTCCCAGTCCTCCCTGATAAACACATTTTCTAGCTCATGGTTGATGCCCTCCACACTGCTTGGCACCCTGCAAATGAGGGACTTTGGCACTGGGATTGTTGATACAGCTGATGAACTTCCTTTGTACTGGAAAAAAATAATAAATAAATAAGTGAAAATATATAGGTCTTGTAGCCCATTCCAGCCTTGTGTAGGTCCACAATCTTGTTCCTGACATCCTTGGAAAGCTCTTTGGTCTTGGCCATGGTGAAGAGTTTGGAATCTGGATTGATTGATTGCTTCTGTGGTCTCTTTTATACAGGTAACGAGCTGAGAGGGCTCCCAATGTCAGCTCGTTACCTGTATAAAATACACCTGGGAGCCAGAGATCTTGCTGACTGATAAGGGATCAAATACTTATTTCATTCATGCAAATTACTTTATAACTTTTTTTGTAATGCATTTTTCTGGATTTTTTTTGTTATTGTTGTGTCTCACTGTTCAAATAAACCTACCACTGAAATTGTAGACTGACCATTTCTTTGTTAGTGGGCAAACTTACAAAATCAGCTGGGGTTCAAATAATTTTTTCCCTGACTGTATAACCCTCGCTCTCATTACACAATTCTTTTGGATTGAGCAGTTTGGTATACAACACTGCTTATGTGTTAGAATCTGTAACAGCAGGATCTGTGATATTGCCCCTGATCTGTTTTCATGAGATGCTGAATGGCTGGAGGCATTCAGATTAAATATGTTACTGATGTGGGATTGAATGTCATGGGGAACAAACGTACACCCATTATTGTGAACTTCCACAGATGGGTATGGGGCAGAACATATCGCTGTTTATATTAATTTTCCCACAGTGGTTGGTATTTGCTGTTGCCTGGTATCTGTTAATGAATGAACTGCAAATAAGGAGAGAATGGGGCATGCCCAAACACATCCCTACTCTCCTCTCTCCCTTCTCCTTCTGACACAACTGGTCAGAATGGGGACTGATTATTTAAACCTCCTCAGTCCAATACTATGCAACATACAACATCATACACTTATGATTAAATATGGCCTATACACAAGTCTACAAATACCACACTGAAATAGAAGTACAGCACTTTCACTCTACACCTATCCATCAAATGGTCACTACAATTTTTCTGTATTGAGAAATAATTAGATTGCTAATAACCTACAGCTTTATAACAATAAAAAAAATAATGTAATAAATAAGTAACTTGCAACTGCTAACAGAGTAACGCAAAAAAAAAAAACTATCTTTCTTTATCTAAGGTATATTCATAATCAGTTCTCTTGTCTTCAAAAACTGATATGGCTTGGTCACCATCTGCTTCATTTGTCTTTTCCTGTTTGGCTGCTAAGCTACCTTATCATATTACTGGTGTCGGTAAAATCTTGCATTACCAAAGTCGGAGTTAATGTTTCCACTTGATAAGAGCATGTTGGTGACTTGGTTTAGCAAGACATGAATGTTGACAAGAATAACTCACCTGAGGCTGGCATGCAGTGCTGTGCTGCGCCTGCTGCGGCAGCTGCAGTGAGCTCTGCTCCCTGTCTTTGTTCTGCCGGCCGACCTGTTTGCTGCGCTGCAGTTGCAGCCTCAGTTTAGCAATCTGTTGGAAGAAACGTAACATCACTTCAGCAAATGACATCTCACAGTTGAGCCACTGAGGGAATATTTCTGTCAACGTGTGACTAACTTTCCCTCTCAGTGAAATAAATAAAGTCCCACCAGGCTTCTTCAAATATCTTTTGTCGCCTAGCAGTGCAAAACCCAAATATATTCAATTTATTACTATGCTATTACATAAACAAATTCTCATGTTTGAAAATCTGGAAACTGTTTTTGCTTTAAAAATTATAGCTTATTATCAAGTACTCAGGTAGTTGCTGATTAATGTTCTGATGGACTAATCAAACAAACAACTGCTCTATTCCCATGCATTTAACTGCTGACCTAGAAATAAAGTCATATGACAATACCCAAACAGCTCTGAAATCTGTTTGAATCTTTTTTGTTATTGATGTAATGGTTCCACCACCTTGCAGCAGGAGGCAGAACAATGATAGTTTGCACCTACAATAAAAGTGTGCACTCTGTCAAATTAATATTTGTTCTTTACTTTTCAATATTTGTAGGATGGCTGGTAGGTTTTCTTCTCTGTACACCAAAAACAACTAACTTGATTTGAATATTGTTGCAGGCTAGTATAGGGCGTATATGCATGATCAGCCTTGTAAGCCTGATGATGAAACCAGTTCCTGCAAGTCACCGGGTGTTTCTGCATTTGACCCAGTATCAGTCTAAAAAACAGGATAACCTTTGTGAGCCTAACAGACACAGTTGTACTATGCAGACAAAGGTGTGGTATTCAATTCTAATCCTGGCAATACAGTCAACAAAAAGACACTCTTTTCATACATGTCCTCCCACACATGTAATCGCAGACGTTAGAGAGCGAGAACACAGTTCACTACATTCAATGAGTGACAGCAGGAGTTCATAATGACAAGTCCAGGCAATCCTAATGTCATCTCAGAGGATGAGAAAGAGGTTTTCCTGGATATGCTTGGTTATCAAATGTTCAGGCCAATCGTCTGTAGAACGTGTCCTACACCTGAAAGCGATTTCTGAAATTGATTCCAATACTTAGAATTTATGAGAATACACTTTATGCATCTCTTGTGGCTGTATTTATTAAGGTACATCACTTCCTAACTCCACTTTACAGCTGTTGACTTTGCTGCAGTACAATGTGACTACAGGTAGTTTATATCCACACCATGTCTAATGAACACTTCCACATCTCCTCTTAACGTGTCCATAACAGTGTGAGTATAATGTAATTCTTGAGCATCAGGATCTACCATTATGCATCTAGCATGATTAGACAAGCATAACCATAGTCTGGCCAAACTGCATATGGCTGACAAAGTCAAGGCAGAGCTTGTTGGTTCCAAAGAACATCACATTATTGACCTACCATGCGTGTGTCTTTTAAACTTGAAATTATTACAAACCTCAGTCACACTACACTTGACATTCTGACCACAAAGTGTATAGAATGCAGTTGTGTGACCGGGTCTTTAAAAGAATGTATTTTAACCACACTCAAGTCTACTTATGAATTTGTAAAAAAGGTTTTGAACCATTTTCTTACTGATCAACCCATCACATCTGTGCGTTTGGGACCACTCTTGTGCTGGAAACTGAAAAATATGAGTGCAGGCCAGCTTTTAAGCTTTTAAGTAGCATGAGTTGCCCTCAGTCAATTCACCCAGCATATGCTGAGGAGGAAACAATATGGCTCCTTCACCCTTGAGAGGAGCTCCTGCACTCTCAATAACAGGCCAAAATGAGATGCAAGGGTGCAGCTGGAGTGGAAAACAGAGGGAAGAAGGAAGTTAAATATAGACTGTGGTCTGGAGAGCTGGAGACCCAACAGCTCCATGTGGTGTGCTGGTTGGCCACCAAGCCCAGCAAATACACAGGAGTGGAAACCAACTTAAAGGAGCATAATATTTAGGCTGACCTCAGACTCTGACAAATAAAACACATTTTGAGTAAATGGAATGGACCTCAAAAATGACAAAAACATGCTCTTGAATTTGGCTGTGTGACTGTTTTAGACTAGTCAGGCCTATTTAGTGTCAGATTGTTGACATTTCCCACAGTTTTAAACCATAGTCTGTGGTGTTTGTTGTCAGAAGTAGCTGTGACTGAGGTTTAGATGGGCAAATCTACCTCTTTGAGGTGGTCTGCACTGCCCCACGAGGCTGACCGCTGGTGAGGACTTCCTTGCTCTGCTCCTTCATCAATCCAGAGACCTGGAGTCTGAGACAGAAAAACATAACGATGGGTGACAAATTAAAGAAAAAGCCTGAATAAAGTGGTCTGCACTGCCCCACGAGGCTGACCGCTGGTGAGGACTTCCTTGCTCTGCTCCTTCATCAATCCAGAGACCTGGAGTCTGAGACAGAAAAACATAACAATGGGTGACAAATTAAAGAAAACGCTTGAATAAAGGTGGTCTCTTCCAGGACGGCCGCACCCCCAAACACTGGGCACAACAGGGCACTGAATGGTTTGAGGAGTATGAAAATGATGCGATGGGAGATTCTAGGCCGATGTGTTAGCTTGTCCACCACTATCATCAAAACAGTAAATGAGGGAATATGTTTTGGATGAATGTGTTCATCCCTCCAGTAAATGGCCTTATACTTTAACGCTTTTCTATGCATTGCATGCACAATCAAAGCGCTTTCACACCATTCACCCATTTGCACTACCAAGCTCACACACGCACACACCAGTGATATCACAAAGAGCAGCTTGGGGTTCAGCGCCTTGCTCAAGGACACTTCAACATGTGGACTGGAGAAGCCAGGAACTGAACTGCCAACCTTCTGGTTAGTCACCCCAAGGCACACTGAAGCCGTTCTGGGGCATGTGGTACAACTGAACTTGCTTTCTACTTTCATTTGTCACCCGCCTGTACATCTTGACACAATGTTACTCAGCTTCATCACTCACTCAATCATTTCACACACACCTCATGCTGCTGATACATGCCCCAAATGTACTGTACTGTTAAGAAATTGTGGCCACACAAAACGTATGATGTACTTCTGTAAAAGAGTACGAACATGCATTTCTATTGTGTGTTTGTGTGGATGCAAAAGTATAAGTATACAGAACACATTAAAGCCTAACATTAACCATAGAGCAGTGTCTAAAATTTGTTTGCAAGTCAGGATGGCCTTTTTAACAAAGCATAAACACTTCAAATATCAGAGATGTAGCTCCCTAATGAAGCCCTTTTTATATGTTAATTCTTGTTATTTTTATGCATTTCTTTGCACATTCAAATTTGTTTTTTAAAAATTACTTGTACACAAAGACATTTAAATATAACCAGAGATGCGCCAAATCGATCAGCAGAGACAAGAAATGGCTGGTTTTCAGTGTGATTGCCCTTTACCGACGACTGGCCGATCACTCCCAAATTTCCAGTACGACAGTTCACAATGCACACGCAGTGACACAGACCAAAAGTTTAACACATGCACCTCGAGCGAGGCTCGCCCTCGTGTCTGTACCAGGCGCATGTTCACTGACAGCCTGGAGGTGCTTGGTGTACAAAGAGCACACAGGAGGAGCTACAGAAACACCTTGGAGAACAAAACTATTTCCAAATCTCTGACAAACAGTACACAATGAAGGAATTACTGGCTACATGTGAAATGCATGTACAGTGTATCCAACCCGTGGTAAAACGCAGCAAATGCAAATTAACACACACAAAAAAAGGGAACTGTGTGCTCTGTAGTAACAGACCTATTACCCGTTGCAACTGTTCATATTTGGAGAAGTATAAATATGGAACTTCATTTTTAGTTGGAAGGTTGTTTTTTTTTAAATTTGTAAAACAGAATGTAAAACTTATTACAATTCAATTTTTCATTAAAGATGTGTGTATTCTGTCAATTATAGTTCTTAGAAAGAAAATTGGAATCGGCAGGTCACACACACCCTTTTGGGGGGGGGGCAAGAAAACTGCAAATTGGTGCATTTCTACATAAAAGCAAATACAACTTCACCTACTGTACATGCAATATATAGTAGTAAAAATGTAAACAAAAGGCAAGTGGGAAGCTAAAAGGTTATACTATGACCTCTCCTCAAACACATGAAATGCCCTTGATTAAGGAGTTTAATAGCTAATGCAGTCCTCACTGTGAAGTCACTCAGGATATGATCATTAACTAAATTCCTAAAATGTAAAATGACTGGATAAACAGTTGAGAAAAATGTGAGTGAAAGCAACAATGAGTGCCGTGTGTTCAAAAATAATGCTGAAAATCTGGAATCAATGAAAATGAAGAAAACAGTCATACGATACCATCCCTGAGGAAAGAACTACACTCAATGGGAAAACAAAAGTCACAGCATGTTTGATTGCCTTGTATTAGAGGGCTGGGTTACAATAAATGCATCTGTGGCAGGGCACGAAACATTTTTTGTCTACAGGCAAAACTGACTAGTTCATTCCAATAAATCACTGAATTAGCCAAACATAGTTCAAAGAACTGATTACAGGGCTACCAAAGTCATATACAGTATGATATCCTACTAACATAACATTTCTGTCAACCACAGGTGACATTTACTTGTAGCTGATGTTGGTTTCCCTCCAAGGAGTTTCCACCTTTTCACCTGGAGCAGTAAAAGTCTACAAATTTGCTCTTTAGCCTACAGACTACTCTGATTAGCAGAATATGCATTGCATAACACTAGGCTTACACCAAGTCAGTAAGTTTACAAAGAAAGGTAGTGTTAGTACACCAGTAAGAAAACGTGATATACTAGACACTCATCACATATTTACTGAATAAATAAGGAAATGGTTAAATTATGTAAATATATGCAAAAACAGAAAGACTGAGAACGTCTCATAAAGTTGTCTGTAACCACATACTTCCCCTAGATTATGCACATCAACAGTGCCTCTGGACCTCAAACATCTCACATTTTCTTCAGCTTTTTTCTGTGAGCATAGTAGTACAAAACATCTTAAATGTCAGTGGCTTCACACTGCCTTATGTCTGCCCCCACATAAACAAAAAATCCTCTATGACTCTCCAACTAACACACAATCCTTGCCCTGTAATATGGAAGATCACACAGAATAATGAGGAACACCCGTGAAGCAGTCTGCAGTGGCTTGCTGGCACTGGTTTTGGCAGAAAAGGACAGCAAATTAAATGGGCACTTGTGCTGTCATAAAGGAACCACTGTGCTTGGCCACACTGGATGGCAGATGTAGCTAGCCTTTAGCATTAGGGACTTGATGCTGCAGCCTAATCCATTTATGCAGAATACAGATTGCTGAGGATAAAAGGGCAGATAGACTTTATGGAACTGTGGACTTAGCTGTTGAGGAAAAACTAAGTTCTCGCAGATGTTCTATGACGTCACGTAGGCATGCTACTTGCTGCTTATGTCTCAGTGAAATGGGAAACGCTTTTATTTGGCAGTTAGTGCAATGTGCAGTTTTTCATAGGGCTGCGCAGTACTGGCTGAAATCAAAGCACAAGAATGTAGCTTGAGAATCAAGAGAACAAATGGAAGGGTTCAGGGTAAGGGGTTCACTGTCACTTTGACTGGACACAGCTATGTTATGGGACATGGTAAAAAAAAAAAAAGAAAATAACTGCACTGAATGGCTTTTTAAGTACTGTAATATTTTCAATCATCTCCTGGGACATGTTTTTTCATTTCCATGAACATTAAATCAAATTAATCCTTTTTGATTTAAGAGTGGCAAGGCTTACATCTGTGTTAAAAGCAAGATCAATTTTCAGTATACAAAAAACATTAAAACTGTAAACAGCAAATGCAGTATGATGACAGCTGTTTGCACTTTAGCCAGGGGTTAAACAAGTAACAGCTTGTGAGTTCACTCCCAAACACTTAATGCTTCAGATGCAAGTTACTCTTCATATTATTCCATGTTTTAGTTTTAATGTGTCAAGAATGCAAATTACTTTAACAATAACAACAGGCCATAGGAGTCGAGGTCAGGGGGTATATTTTTCTTTGTGGATCTCTTAATTTGGAATAGAACTCAGACAGTTAAAGTGACTGCAGAGGCAATTTTACTTTATTGACTGTGCTCCCCCACAAAAAAAAAAAAAAAAAAACCACTGTCTGTTAACTAGAACACCCACCTTTATTTACCTCGCGCGCACTTTCATCATGCTAGATCTTGAACGTCCGGCCTGAGTTGTGTACTTTTTAAACTTGTGTGCCAGGTGCTGACTGATAATGTACTGCTGTATAGATAAAAACCCAGTTACCATAGCCTGCAGCTTACTTCCCATTACAACTCCCACCCAAAAGGTTACATGCAGGCAACATCCTCAAGAATCCAGCTCTGTTCCAAAGCAGGAAATAATGACTGGGCTTCAACAGAATTGCAGTGGAATTTGTGCTGGTTTGTTTAGGTTGCATGTCGAGACATGCGAGCAAAGTGCTACGGCTATCATTTGGTGAGGTTTAAAGATGTTGAGAACATGCCTTCTGATTAGGTGGGATGACTGTGTATCTGTTACTCATGCACGCCTCAAACTCACCAAGCATTCCAGAAAATTGATGCTCATCTCTCAAAGGGTGTTTGTTGTCTCTTCGTTTCGTGCTTCAAACTGGATTAATGTATATTCAGGTAAACCAATGATCTACAACATGCACATACACATCATAGGAGGCAAATGTGGAGTAGTAGTACTGGATCACCTGTGATAGCATAGCATATTAATAAAAGCACTAGTAGGATTAACTGTATCTAAAAGCCCTAACACACAAAGTTGATGTCTGGCAACAGCACGCCCACTTTAAGCATTTGAGAGTCTGGTAACACTGATATTTGGTAAACAAAACCTTACCAGATATATTCTCAATTCATATTCCAGGCCAAAAATAAAATGGTTTAAGCAGATTCACAGTAGCAAACAAACAGCAGACTAGTTTGGTATGTTTGTCTTTGTCATGTTATTCAGATAACAAAATCAGACTACTGATTAGCTATTTCCTAACATGTATGTTAGTGGTCAGCTGCAGCTTTTGTGTTGTGTTCCAGTGCAACAGAAGACGTGAGGCGACACACACCATTTGATCAGTCTGCATTTGTTGGTGCTAGTTCTTTGAGGTCCGTTTGGTGTGTCAAGGGCCTAATCTTCATATAGACATTCTCTGTGTTCTGTGTCCACAAGGCCTAGGGCATAGAGACCTATCCCAGAACAGTGATTAGCATATGTATGGACCCTCTGCTCCTCAACTCCCACACAAAAGGCAGGCGGGCTGTGCAGCCACGAGAGCCAGGTGGCAAGCAGTGGGATTTCTCCTCGCCTCAGCTACAAGCTGAGGGACAGGTGCAAACAACTTCACCTCCATGCAGGGCTACATTACAGCTCAAAGGAGAGGCTGTCTTCAACTTGTGCAGTGCACAACAAAAGAGGCCAGGAATCTTTTGTCTGCTGCTTTCGTCTTATAAAAAGAGCTAAGTCCAGGCATAGCTTGTTAACAGGAAGTGGTCTCTGACTATCCTAGAGGGAGTTTGTGCATTTAATTGCTCAAGGGTTGTCAAGTACGTGACACTCTCCCATATTATTACAACATAGCCAGATGTTTTCCCTCAAAATATTTCTTGGCTAGATTTTCCTACAGGTCAGCCTTCAATCATATGTTTGCTGATAATGTCTGGGAAATATACAAGGCCATATCACAATTTAACACAGACAAATATAATATGCCAAAAATTGTAGGTACATAGGTAAGTGAGACCGCTCTGTATTTGTGTTGCAACTTTTTTTTCCCCAAGACCTGATGATCATCAAATTGATTTTTCCATAAGTGTCACGTCTTTCCAGAGCTGCACAGGAACCCTATAATTAGAGGCATTTACTCTGCATACAGCCACTTGAAGAAACCTTGCAAGGCCCTCTCACCACTTCCTCAGCCTGCACACAAAGAAATGCAAGGCGAATGAGGGGTTAAAGGGATGAAGCCCATGTAAATGAGGCTTGGCGGTTTTCATTCAGACACATGAAAGGCTTCTCTTAGCAAAGAGGGAGTAGTCATTGTCAAGATCATACATATTCAGTTTTCTTTCATAACACAAACTCACCCCAAAACCCCACCCCCAAAAATTAAGCTCTTTGAGAAAAACTGCATTTAGCCACCAGTCACACGGCAAGATTAGTGGGTGATCGGGTGTGGGGCCGTTATCCAAGAATACTGTAGTCAGGCTAAATCCATACATACATCTTTTTCACTGTTAAGTGTTATGTTTTAAGTGTTTAATGTATTAAAATGTGGTGTGTGTGAGGGAATTTTCCACCATTTACATCAAGTCTATTAAGTCTGCATTGGCACCAATAACAGAAAACCTTTGGTCACTGTTTGGAAGTCTGTGTCCTTCACCAGCCACTGTGACAAAAACCAACAAACAACACTTTCAAAGTCCTAAATACTATGATTTTCTGGGAGAGAGGTGACAGTGAGAGGTGAATTCATGTATTCCTAACCCAAGGGTGGCCCATATGGCCTTAGAACAGTGTGATATATGAAGGCTCCATTGTTGTGTCAAACGTTAAACTGACAACAAAAAAGCAGACCATACACAACTTCAGCCTGGTCATTGTTGTGCAGTGAGCTTTTTCCTCATACATGCCCTCCTGAACATTGGATTCTCCTACACTTTACAGTATTTTGTATGTACATGTAAACATGCTGTAATATTCTTATTATATGAACATTAAAGAAAAAACATGAGTTGCACTGCAATTCCAAGTGAGTGAAGCCATCTACTGTATGCTGCCCCTGGTAACATAAGCAAAAAGCCCAAATTATTTTTCCCATACACAATGTTATGTGGCTCACATCTGGAGCACTTTTATGGCTTGGATCAGCATGAAACTACTGGAAAAACTCTCAGGAAAAAAAGATGAACTATTGAGTAAGAAAACCTTTGCTTCATTGATAAAATGTCAAAAGGTACAAAACTCTATATGAAAATGTAGGGGGAGAACATAAATGCAACTCCTAAGGTAGTTTTTTTTGGGGGGGGGGACCCCACCAAGCTTAAAATTCTGTGACATGCACTGCACTAAATATTGGCAATACAATTTTAGACAAATTTACTTTCAATCTTTGCTTAATTTTGGATGACTTCAGCAGCTTTTCTTCACAAAGTCTGACTTGACTACATCTCTGATTCACAGCTCTGAACGGCTTCTTGTCCAGGGCAATGGTGGCAGAGTCTCATGGATATTGTAGTGTTTAGACCCATCCAACGAGCCAAAACAATGGATTAAATAAGATTCTTAGAAGTGGTGGATATATCATAAATATTTAGGCTTGTTATAGTATCCTTCAGGAGTGCCACATTTAAGTTAAGTTGCATTGAAGAAAGAAATTGGAATACATAATGAAGAAAAACACACCAAAAAGAGCAGCTTGTCCTCTATTATAGACCCTACAGGTCTAAAGTGAAGCTATGATTCTCTGAATGATAAGTACCTGTGTGGCTTTGTCTTTCATACAGGAAGGGTAGGGTCCATGGGAGTCGCGAGGCCACTGACCAGTGAGGTATGGCCCTGTGATGGCATCCAGAGAAGACGTCCGCCTGATAGAACTGGATCCTCGAACCTGTAGCTTGGCTCTTTCTGTTGTGAATTGAGAAAAATAAAGAAAACAGGATTAGATGCACATATACACCCACGCATGTGTCACTACCTAGTGAACAATATTTCCAGACACCCTGAGGCATCTTTGACATTTGATGAGGCAACTTCCATGACTGTGTCAATAACACCAACTTCAATATTCAGTAGTAAAATGTCACTGTGTAATAAATCTTAGTGCAACTATGTAGCCAAGGACTGAGGGTTTGTTTCCTTGGCCTGGTTTCTAAAACTATGTTGTAGTAAGAGCTCAAAAGGGATTGTAGCTAGATATTCGCATTGCAAGAATGGAACTATATTTTACTCAATTACAGAAAATTCTTACTCAGATTACTGGCTAAAAAAGGTTGGACAATATTTTCAAAAAACACTTTCCCTCACCTCTGTTAACCACTGCAAGTTACAATGTTTTATTAGACCAGAACTGGGTGGACAGTTTTTCTAATCTACTGAGTATTAGTGGTGAGCAAAAAGCAAGCTTGAGGGCTGAAGCCTGAAGAAAATGGAAATGGCTGAGCAGGAATATCTGATGCTATGAGAGCAGTCTGCTGTGAGCCAGAGTATTGAAGCACACACCACCCACATAAGAACTCATAAACAACCACACCGCAATGCACATCAATACTGCCTGCATCTACTCAACATTCCTGCAGTGACACGCAGTTTAAAAAATAAAAATAAAAATGCAAATACAAAAGACAATAGCTGAGAAGTGTGAGGTTGCACCAAGAACTGGATTAAATACATTAGCCTCGATTTCACTGATTATGAAGAGTAAATTAAGGCTTCTTACTTTCTGTATCAAAAAGAAACCCCTCTTTTCAAAGGTTAAGACCTTTGCAAAATGAACAGAGACACTAAGCTATCAACATGAGGCACCTCTCTCCTAGTAGAACTACATAGCCATTCATTGTTGTTCTTTGCTCATAGAAAACACAGGCCTACCCACCCAAAAGTATTGCCTAAGATAGCTTATTGGGCTACAGTAAAATTCCCTGAAGCATTACAGACAAAGGAAGCACGCTAAATTTCCATCAGCATTGATACAGGCCAAGCCAGCACTCTCAAAAGGCGAGGTTGTGGTTATTTTCCATCGACTTCCCACTTGCCAAACTAGAATAATCTCCTGATGAGGAAAAATAAATAATGTAAAACAGCCAAGAGACCAAAGCAGTCCATCTGCTAATTTCAGGGTTAAGTAAGGGGTGTCTAATATTAAAGAAATATTTTCAGGTTGAATTTTAGAAAGCTTTTCCCTTCCACGAGCTGTGAAAACGTCTCCACATTTCCAGGGATAAAGTAATGGTTTATTAACAGTAGGTCAGAAGCACGTGGGCCAAATCAGTAAACTGTAGCAGAACAGTTTCCAGTAAGTCCCCATGACACTGATTGAAGGAAAACATGAAAAGCTTAGCTAATGGTTTCAGAACAAAAGTCATTGGGTATCTAAGAAATGCGGAATTAAGTGAAACTACAGTTTTAGCTGATGCTAAAGCTAACCTGGTAGGGGTTTTGATTCACTTTAACACACAGTTGATTACTCAGGTAGTTGACCAGTGAAGAATTCATCAGCAACCACAGTAAATAATCAGTCATTGCCATTTTATAAACAAAAAGTACTTATGAAGGGTGTAGAACTGTATATCAATTTGATATTATCAAATAATATAAATGTTTATTAAACTTTTAATCAGTATACCACATACATGCTGCTATAGGCCTAGACTGCTGGATTCCCCCCATGATGCTCCCTTCTCTCTCTCTCTCTCTCTGTGTGTGTACATCTATATGCCACCACTACTGTGCATCTCCTCTCCCCCGTAGTGTGTCCTCTCTTTCTCCCTGTACCTTCCTACAGGTTGCCCTGGCTCTGGAGCTCTATGTTTCTGATGAGCAGTTACCAGCCACATCAACCTGCCCAGTGTTCGTTTGTTGTTGTGTCTTGTTGCTTTTTTTCCCTCTCTCCTCTGTTCACTCACCCCAATCGGCCAAGGCAGAAGGCCGCCCACCAAAAGCCGGGGTTTGTTTGAGGTTTCTACTGTCGCTAAGTGCTGCTGAAGGGGGTTTGTTGGGATTTTCCCTCCATATTAATAACTGCAGTCTTAATAACTTTACTTTGTAAAGTGTCCTGGGATGAGTTTTGTTATGATTTGGCATTATACAAATGAACCCAAAATAATGCACATGCCTCTTTCTCAAATAAAATTGCCTAATCATTCAGTTATGGAGGAATCTCTTCAACCACTAGCTCCTCAAGCTGAAAAATGTGTTTGAGGAAAATTGCATTTTAGCATCTCTCCCTCACCCTGTTAGTTATATAAACATCCCTCAGTCCAGTGGGTATCTTCTACAACTAGCACTGACTACTTTGAGTGAATCTACATGGATGAGGAAGGTATGCTAACATGGTTAATAATTTCACATTTTAAAAATCAGAAATGAAGAATTAGCTAATTTACCACATAAACTTTAAGGTTCACTGCAACATGTTTCACAGTTTTGTGTGCAGGCTGATTAAAAACTACAGAAAACACACAGCAGTGCTCATTTTCACATTTGGTCCTAGTCTGCTGTTCGAATGGGTGACAAGAAACATTTCAGCACAGCTGGCACCGTGACAGAGAGCAGGACTTTCATTGTTTGGACAGTGTTGTAAGAGAATGTCACACTGGTCAACCTAATGGGTCATAATGTGGAATATAACACACTTAAATCTGTCCATCATTAGGATCTGAACTGTTTTAACATTAGTGCAGTCCATTATCACATTGGCTGGGTTTCCATGCACATTTTGAAGTACTGCATCAGAAAAAGGCGATGGAAACACCAAAGCTCAATAAATAAATAAACCAATCCTCTAACTTAATTTATTAATCTAAGTTAATGTGCAAAATGAGAGATGGAAACACATTTGTCGAATAAGTTCTGACGTAGCGAACACTGAACTCCCATGACATGATCTCAGCATTTTTTTGTCTTTGTCTGCAGATACCTGTGAACATGGCAGAGAGGACAAGTACGAGCTGCCCAGTTGAAAATAATTTGGTCTGACCTCTGTCCATTTTCTGTTTGCCAGTTTTTTTTATTTGTTTCCAGTTTATAACCTCTACTTTTTTTTATCATCACAGCCATGTTATGAAATGTTGCTTATACCATCATCTTACAAAAAAAAGTTTATCCACTCCAAAACACTTGATGGAAACACACCTAATTGCAAAAAAAAAAAAAAAACTTTCAAAAGATTTACTTCACATTACGATGGAAACCAAGCTATTGTCTGGCTCCAACATGCTACTGTAAGGCACTTTGGACTAAATATCTCACCAGATGGCAAGCATTATGTCTGTGAGTGGGTTCAAAGCACTACAGTGAATGAGAAATTACAAAGGGCAATGGCCACTGCTTCAGTCATATCAAGATGGCTGCTATAATGAAAGATGACTAAATTATGCTCACATTGTTTTCCTTGTTTCTTTCTGAAAGATACATGACAATTTGTATTTTTGACTGCTAGTAGTCGCCACCAACCCCTCATTCATATGATTACAGTCATCATCATCTGAGGCCTCTCATATGTTTGGACTGGGAGGTCACAGCTATGAAAGAGGGTCAAGTCTCCATCATCACCACTGACATGGGACACTGACCTGGGTTAGAGATTGTCTCTTTCAGAGGACTGAGGCATGTGTGGCATGCCACTGGGGTGGGAAATCACACCAATGACCTTTCAAACAAGGCTGAAATTTGTTGTGCCTAGTAAGTCTGTCTACTCAGTTGTTGTGGAAGAAACTGTTTGCTGCATTGCACAGTACACTGGTCATGGTTGGAGGTCAACTCAATAGCAGAACTGAATGTAAATTTCCATATCCAACTCCACAATAACCACCATACTGCACTGAGACAAGTGGGCTGCCATTTTGGTTGAAGAGGGGGGAGTTATTAAATGCAACTGAGGTAGCATCGATCCAGTTAGTGCACACTGCTACTGCAGTGAGAATACCTGGTGCTTTTCTTGGGAACTGAAGCAGAATTAGAAATACTCCGTGTTTAACAGAACTTGGAGTCTCTTTTTCTCTTCAGATACTTGAAAAACAAACTGCTTTAAGACACTTCTGTATCACAGTGTACTGTACTTTCAACACATGCCAGATAGTACTGCATGTGGCTATGCATGTTTTTTATAGATAACACTGGGTTTACAGAAAAAGTTGTATTCTTCCAGCAGAAACTGTAGCTCTGTCCTACAAAAGAATACTGCCACCAGTCTGAAAAAACTGTCCATGGTAAAGATATTAGGCAGGACAGGATGTCAAATATGGAAAATAAGTATTTAGGACTGCTTGGACTCTCATGTCCTCCTTCAGTTGGTCGCTGTATCACTTCTAAAGGAGCAGCTGAGCACGGCATAAAATACACAGCACCTCCATCTGATATCCATGTGCAAGGCCACATGGCGAAGCACAGAATATGCTCTGGAAGTATTGCTGTATGTATGAGGTCAAAATAGGCAACACCTGACCTTATGTTCAGCACTGCATCTACTGGAACTGACGTGGCCCCTTCTACAACTGAAAGCCTGTCTTTCTGCCAATTCTCTCCAGTCAAAAGTCCATTGGAAATAATAGAGCCAAAAGTGCACTCTATTCTTTTTATGGGTGCCTAATCTTGTAGATGGATGATAGGATAAATAGTTAATGCATCAACTTACTGCAAATCAAGTGCCAACCTTTATCCATACCTAGACTAACTCGTCAAATATAATGTCTGAGCCATTTTAAGACATGTAAAATAATCACATTTTATTCTATAACTATCAGTTAGGCTAAAACTAAAGTTACCATAACAAGTTATCAGTGGACAACGGCACGTGGTGACAGGGAATTTCTTGGCCTATGTACGGCAAACCAGGTGGAAATGCGTGTTTTTACCTCTGGATACTGGAGAGTCTGGGAGACAGGAGGAGTCCTTATTTTCGGGGGACAGTCTCTGCTTAGCATTTGCATTTCCTGAAGTTAGTGTAGGACTGGAAGGGGGACTTGAGCCTCGGCTGTTCGTGGTTCCTCCGCAAAGAGCCTGCGGCCGCGTCGGACTGCTCTGACCCGCACGCAGAAGCTGATAGGGCACTGTGGCACGGATGGGGTGCAAACGGCAGCTGCTGTTGTTGAACGAGCCGGGGGAGCCTGCATTGTTGCGTCTCACTCTCGGCTGCTGAAGTGAGTTGCTGGGGGCTGACATCCTCAGAAACTGGCTGTAGTTTCTACTGCAACAAGAAAGACGTGCTGCCAAAGTTTCTGCTTCTCTAGATGAGGAGGTGGTGGAGGAATGGTAAGATAAACATTAGCTTGTTAGCCAAAAAACGTTAGCTTCCTTTTTTAAAATTTCAACTCGTGCACTCGAAGAGAAAAAACTCCAAAACGCATAATTGTGGGATAAACTTACCTGTAAGATACTAACACATGCCGACGCAGGGTGTAATCCTGACACGTGTAACTCTAAGAGTTGATTTTGATACTTTTTGAAATGTTTAATTCGTGTTTTCTGGCTCCAGCTGAGTCTTCCCCATCGTGTCCACTCACTCTAAATGACAGTTCTTTCAGCCAGACTACTGGCTGATGCCTGGAGGCGGGCTACGCTGCCTACTTCTGAGGTTGTGATTGGGCAGTGGCGTTGTACAGTAACATCGCTGATTGGTGCAAGGCTGTCTATGGTACGTACTTTCGGCCAATCACGTTAGCAATGTGTTATTAGTACCGTGTGTGTGCAGCCAAAATATTTCTCATGAATTTAGTCGCTTTATTTAAAAAGTACTAATATAAATGTAGTAAATAACTGGCCATAGTAATCTGTTCTTTTCTTTTGAGTTTCACTATACCTTGTAAAGTAATTAATTGCAACAGCTATTCTAGAGTTCTAACTGATGCTTTTTTCTTATCTTCGTTTGCTTATTACTTTCTCGACCAATTCCTTTAATCTAGTCTTCAAACTGCTTGATTTGTCCCACCAACTGTCCAAAACCCAAACATATTTAAATACCATATATATTTGTTTGAAAATTTATGCTTAACCTTTTTCTCCTCTTTTCACCTGTTTCACCTTATTACTGATATTGTGGGTAAGTGTACTGAGAGCTACTAAAAACCAGAGTCAGATTCCTGGTATGCTTCCACCTACACTGACCAATAAAGTGGATTCTGATTGTGGTAATATTGTTGGTCAGCTGCTGTTTTCCAAGGTAAACAATGAATTTCATCTCATGTTTTAAGCCAACACAGACCATAAATCCTTTTGGAAATAGAGAAATCTGAACATCTACAACTACATGACAACTAGGTATACTCCATCTGCAGAGGAAGATTGTGTCATATGATAGAAGGTTCCAGTTCTGAAAGCCAAAATTTATATACATATTTTTTCCAGGTGTCCATCGTTGCATATTTTGATGGTCTGTGACTCCCATGGAAGAATAATGTGTGAGACTCAGTGCATTTACTCAAGATCGAATACACACGATAGAAAACCCACATCATCTGTGTCTGTGAAACATAGTAATGTAAAAATAAACCCTGCAAACCTATGGAAAACACCCCATTCTATGGAGCTCCAATTTGTCAGTCACAATTTATTTAAAAGGCAAATACAAGAAACACTTAAAGGATGAAATTCCAGCCACTCTGTTTTTTGGGATGCTACACGGCTTGCCAATTTGTCAGCTCCACTCCAATACGGTTCACAAAAGGCCATGCAGGCCTATAAAACCTCCCACACCGGGAAAGACCCTGATAAAAGCAGCATACAGTAGCTCCTGTGCCACCCCAGCTCCTCCTCACCTCCTCCTCCCTACTCCATGACTAAGTAATTTAGCCAGCTCTGGTGCAGGGTGTCTCTCACTTACAATGCCTCCCTGGGTTAGTGACTGAGCGGGGAGGGTGGCAGAGATATTTACAATGTGGCTTACACACAGCCATCCCCCTGCAGACGGCGCCCATCCTTGGATTGATGTGTGGTATGTAAAGATTTGGGTGCAATTTGGGCAGCAGAGAGAGGGAAAAAGAAAGGGAGGGCAAGTCTGTGTATGTGTAGGAAGGGGGGGGGTTTGGGCTCAGGCTGTCTGTTCTCTCGCCCTCTCTTTGAGTCAATAGTGTTCCGGCAGCTGAGGTTCTTTATGAGGGAAACAATCTGGAGGGTCTTGTCAGAGTGCCGAGCAGCTGCTGTTTTCTGGGGAGCCTTTTTCATGGACCACAGGCCTGGAGTGGGCTGGTGAATAAAGCCTCCTCCTCCACCACCCCTACCTTCTCCAATTCCTTGTCCTTTCCCCCCAAAACTACCCCTTACACTGGAAGCCCTCCCGCACAATGCCAGATGGAGAGCAGCACAGATGAACATGAAGAGAGCAAGACAGTGTTGTTACTGTGTGCTACACTATGCTCCATCACCCAAGGTACCATCCCTCATGGCAAACAATGCTTTCATGAGGTACGCAAAGATTCTTTCTTAAGATAAACACGGATGTTAAGTAGCGTATTAAAACACAAGCCACAAAATACAGCTCAGACATATTGGCACCTGTGACCAGATCATTACAACCTGATGTGTTAGTGGACATTTGAATGTTTTAATAGATCACAGTAACACCATAAGCCTGGCTCAGGGTAGACTGAAGGAGGCTGATTACAACAGAGCCTCTTGCATTTTTCCTGATTGAGATTTTGATTAGAAGAGCAGCAAGTATGCATTTGCTCCCCTTCTATCATTGACTCAGTTAGTCAGATAGGTAACACACACTACATCCCCTTCTTCATATAGTTACATTCACTAGGCCATAACTCTATTCAAGCAGCAACTTCAGAGATGGACACTGCTGGCATCCTTTGTCCCTTGTCCAGCTGTCAGTGAACCTGCACTGGTTGGTGTCAGGCTGGTGTTTGGATTCAGAAGGTGTCAGGCTCCTCCTGTTTAGCTGCTGTCTGAAGGCACCAGGTTCCCTGTGGTGTCCAGCTGCATGCATTTACATGTACAAGCCGACACTGGGCACTCAGTGTGGTCTCTGTAACAGACACATGACAGGGGGTTTAAAAAGATGTTTCATGTAGACAAGAAAGAAATGTGTAAACAACAGATAATGCAGAACATCCTGGCAACAAGAACATTCAAAATTTTGGAAGCTGTTCCGAAGACTGCCTGTCCAGAATAATGATTATCGAAGCATTTTGTGATGCAATGCACAGAAAAAAGTCAGGGAATGAGTGTTTTGTCCCGGCATATTACTTCTATCCAACACTGTCTTTGTAGATAAATATACAGTAGGCTATTGTTTAAGAAAAAGAAAAGATTAGCATTGCCCTCAAAGACGGTGCAATGATCACCTCCTAACCAGTCAGTTTATACTGAAATAGGAAGCCATTCTTCTTAAGAGGATGCCAACTTCAACACAATTTTAGTGCTACATTTACCTTTACATTTTGTTGCAGATAATAAAGACCCGTAGTGACTTTTTATAGATCAGAATAATCACTTTGCCTGCCATGACTGTGTCAGAGAGAGAAGGAATGTTTGGAGGTGGCAGGTGACCACTCTGGGTTTAAAACAGGACTTCTGATAAGCACAGATATTACCACTGACACTTATAGAACACTCAAAAATCCAATTAACAGGAGCCATGCAGAGCAGTAAGCATGTTCACAGGTGTCTGAAAATTATCTACACATGCGCAGCATCCAGTGAGAGTCCCACCTGAACCAGCTGAGCATGTGGCCAGCGTGGCCACCGTGTCGGCAGTTGTGACACCAGGTGAACCAGTTGTTAAACTGAGCTAGTTTGTTCTCCCTTGTCAAGTCCACCTTCTCGTCTGATTTCCCTGTTCCTGCAAAAAAAAAAAAAAAAGGTATCCATAAGTCTGTAATAACAATCAGTAAAATGTGAAAACCTATAAACCTTAGTGTGAGTGATATCACAGCAATAAATGAACCTGACTGGCTGTTATACACCCAGGTGCAACTGCCCCTAAATGCTGATCAAAGTCCACACATTCAGTTAAGTATTATAGCCACTGCTCCACAATGCATGTCTGTTACTGGAAATATCAGCTGCATATCTGTCGACATACAACACAACGTCAGGTTTACCTGGGCAATTGGAAACAGGTGTGCCCATGTTCATCAGGCAGAGGGCACAGCGTGGCAGGGGTTTTCTGCAGCCAGGGCAACTGGTGACTTTTGACTTGGTCGGTGAGCCGCTGACACCATACTGGCTGAAGCCACGGCCCTGGTGAGGCATCGCTGAGCAGCTGTAGGAGATGGACTTCCCACAGAAGTTACAGCTCACAAACACCTGTCGCACAAGTACAAACACAAAGGTCGGCTGATAAGGAAGAGTGAGCATTAAGGGAAAACCAACAAGCACACACTCGCCAGCTGTCTGGATTTCATCTCTTAGGGGAACATGATCAAATAATACATCAATAATCCCAAAATGCTTAACTGTGATTACTAGAATGTCAGTGATGCAGTCAGGTAGTGTCAGGTTTTTCTTACAGTATACTCATACTCACCCAAAAAAAACATTTGTAAGAGCAGACTTTACAATAAATGACTATTACAGTAGAGCATGCATAGTGTCTAGAACAAGTTTCTCCAGTGTAAAAGGAGAAAAAACAAACTTAACTAGAACGCAGGTTTAAGACAACAACTGGAGAGCAGAAAACAGACACTCTAAAGCTGTTTTACTGAGACAACAAACAGCATTTCCAAAAATGTTATCAAACTAGTAACCTACAGTGACAACAATATCAAAGACAAGTAGATATGGCGGCAACTTATTTTATTAATACTTAAAACTGTTTTTTTTACAAAGCTCATCAGAATTTCCGTTAGTCGAATTTTATGTTTTTAAATTGCTATTATTGTCTAATCAACAGTCCACAACCCACTAATATACTGTACAATGATATAAAACAAAGAAAATGCCCAAGGTAAGATGTAAATACTTGAGGGGGGAAAAAATCTATGTGCTAGAGAGAATGTGGATTTATAAATGTTAGCCGTGGCCATGTACTGTGGTAATGCTCAAAGAAAATCAAATTCTGGGAAACAATATGTAAAACAATGGCAACAATATTGTTCCTATGGTCATCTCTTTACTTTCCTTATGTAACTACATACATGCAACGAAAGGACGGACACCTGGTCAAAATATTAATAGTGGCCTGTAAAAAGGCTATAAGACGGAACAGGGGCAAGGTCCATCCTCCAAATCAGGAACAGTGGATACAGGTGACCAAATAAATCTATTTGGATGGAAAAACCGAGGCATATAGCGAGACTGCAACAAAGCCAAAGGAGGAAACATGGGACAAATGGACCCTATACCAAAGGAAGACAACAGCAAAGTAGACTCAATGGAAACTGACAATGACTGGTTGGACAGGTTTGTGTATACAGGCACATCAATGTATAAACATGTATGTGTATGTAAATATGCACCTGTAGGAAAGTATCTATGAAAAAATGTGTGGCTATTTTCCTGAGGCCTTGTGTACGTTCTTGTTTTGTTCATGGAAAACAATAAAAAAAAAAAAAAAAAAAACTAATGAAGGAAGCAAATCCTCATATTTTAGAGGGTAGCTAATGTTTAGAATTTTTCACTGATACATAGTTATTCACTATTAATACTGCTGACAGGATCTTCTCCTGACATAGGGGTTACCTGAGCCAGTGGTTTGGAGCTGGGGTCCATTTTGCCTCTGTGGATGTCAAACTCAGCCCGTTTGTGCCAGAACCTCCACGCATCCAGCAGGTTGCGGTAGTTTTCAATCCAGCATTGGACTCGAGGGTCCTTTAACACTTCCCCTGGGGAACCCTGTTCGGGGAGAATTTTTTCAGTACTTAGACTTATTTCACCTTGGGAAACAAGGTCACAAAAAACAAATCACACAATAGCTTCTAGAAGTCTCACCCTTCCTGCCTCTTCCTGTACCCACCCCTGAAGGTGGAACGTATACATGTTGTGTATACCTACGTGAGATAAGTGCATTTACTATATACAGTATGTGGCGGATGATGTACACAAACAGCACTGTGGCTGTACTCTTTTTCAGGAGCACGCTAGAACAGGAGAACAAAAATCAAGCTAAGAATAATCACTGTAACTTTTAGAAATGAACAGACATGTTTTAGCATGTGTGTCAAGATGAGACAGGTCCTTGTGTCTTTGCCATTTAGTCTTCATATTTCATGTATTTTAGTAATTTATTTTAGTCATTAAACCTCGTATTTGGGGTCATGTTTTTTAACGTGTTCCTGCT